CTCCCCCCTTCCCTCCCCCATTCCCTCCCCTCTCCCTTCCCCCCTTCCCTCCCCTCTCTCCCTTCCCCCCCCTTCCCTCCCCTCTCCCTTCCCCCCCCCTTCCCTCCCCTCTCCCTTCCCCCCCCCTTCCCTCCCCCCTTCCCTCCCCTCTCTCCTCCCCTCTCCCTTCCCCCCTTCCCTCCCCCCTCCCCCCCTTCCCCCCTCCCTCCCCCCTTCCCCCCCCCTTCCCTCCCCCCTCCCCCCTTCCCTCCCACCTTCCCTCCCCTCTCCCTTCCCCCCTTCCCTCCCCTCTTCCTTTCCTCCTTCCCTCCCCCCTCCCTGTACTGCCCCAAACTCCTGTATTTATTTGCGACTCTCCCAATTCCTGTTCCTATGTCCAAACTACACTCCCTCCAGAAATCCCTTCTACACTTCATTTGTCATAATAATAAGTGGCATAGAATCACACGTAGTGTACTACTTTCTCTACGTTCTAGGGGAGGCCTAGGGGCACCGGATATTGTGACCTGTTACTATGCTACTCACCTCTGCTTCCTCACATCGTGGTCCTCCTATTACCCTCTCAACCTGTGGACTGAGATCGAGTCCTTACAACTGACTCCGACTCATCCTTGTTCTCTCCTCTGGTCGACCTTGGTGGTGGACCTTACCCCTATCCGTCGTTTTTTCCTTGGCCCCATGCAATTCTCCATGAGTATCTGGCAGAAATGTAAGACTAGGTTTGCATTGACATCATATTGCTCCCCACTGATTAATATCCTCTTTAACCCCAACCTTCCAGACAGTTTGGCCGTGTCCTGGGTGCTCCCTTGGGTCACAGACAACCTCTTCCAACTACTCCACTTAGTACACCCTGTGACTCGGAAGCTGCAACCATTCACATACCTCCAGAAAAAGGATCTACCTTCCTAGCACTTATATATCTATCTCTCCAGATACGCCACTTTTTCTCTACCATATCCCACACATCGACTCTTGGGAAACCCACTCCCTTTGAGCATCTGTGCATACAAGGTCCACATCAAAAGGGCATAATTTCTAATACATACAAACTTCTTATGGATGCTTCCCCCCTCTCTAATGATACTCATCATTACATGTGCAAGTGGTCCCAGTTTTTACAATGTGACATTGATCTGACGCAGTGGAAGAAATTTTGGGAAAACACATCTAAATCTTCTGTCTGTGTGCTTTATAAGGAAAATACATACAAAATTATGATGCTGTGGTACAAAACTCCCAATGTAATTCATGTCTTTAACCCGAATGCTTCTTCTGCCTGCTGGCTTTGCGGGAATGACTTTGGCTCCCTCTTCCAGATTTTTTGGACTTGTGGATCCATTGTTCCTTTTTGGGAAGAGATTTTGTCCTTTTTACAATTGCTATTGCATACCTCTCTCCCCTTTGAGCCCCTATACTTTTTACTGAGCCTGCAATTCCAAGGTCTTCCCAAAATGGTCAGGAAACTCACCAAACATATTATGACAGCAGCTAGAAGCAGCATTCCTATGTGTTGGCTATCCTCTATACCTCCTTCGATGCCAACTCTGTTTAAAATTATTGCTGATGTGAGACAGATGGAATACTTGACTGCTGTACACGCCCGTTCAATTGCTGTGTTCGAGGCAGTGTGTCATCCATGGGATAATTTCACCTCCTTCCACCTTTCTCCAAATGTACGGTTCTGATGGCCCTCCCGACTGTTGCTATGTGACATTATGTTTGTAACCATGCAGATTTCACCATCGATGTGCTCCCTTTTTCTCCTGTGTTCCTTTTTCAATTTACTGTTTGTATGTGTATATATATATATATATGTGTGTGGAAACCAATAAAATTTGTTATTATACAAAAAGAAGAGTTTTCCAAATGCTCCGTGTACATGAGCCCTTACTAAGTCTACTCTTACATACTGTATAACACTGATGGTCCATACTTTAGTGTTGGCAACAAAATTAGACCAAAGCTCAGACCATGTTATCAGTGATGTGGACAGTCTTGACTGGGAAATAGTTGGGGCCTGACACCTTCTGTTGGCTACTGTAGTTGTACTGATGACATTGATAAGAAGGTTAAAACAACACCTATAAAACTATAATTTATTATTGCCTTTGTATATAAAACTATAATTTTTTATTGCCTTTGTCGAAAACCAATATTGTTGAAACGCAGGGGGCAAACATGTCAGAATTAACAGAGGAGCAAACAGAGCATTAATTAGTCTCTACTGATTCATTTCTCTCAGGAACATCTTGTATTATTCACTTGGACGCTTTGTGACAGATCAATTCCCAGATCCCTGAAATATCATTGAAGCTGCATTATATAAGGAAGGGTGATTGGAGGATTCTTTGTCATCCCATCATTACATTTTACATGCATATTAAAGTTGAAAAAACCAGGAGAAATTTCAATAAGATAGAAATTAACCACATCTTTAAATCCTTTCAAAAGCTGTATTTTTATTCCATGTAAGCTCACTTGATTGTAAGTATTAGTGATTATTTATGTCTGTAAAGGTTTTTATTTACACAGGTCATGGTATAGCTAGTAGGTGTTAGTGACATTCAATTGGACTTGTTCTGTAGTAATGTTTTTTATTATCCATCCCTATTGTTTCCTTAGTTTGATCCTCAGCTGAACTGGCTTCAGGTGATACACAATGTTGGAACAAGTGTTGAATAAGTTGTTCCTGTTTATCTGCAGTCTTCTCTTCTCTACATTCATTCAAAGTCCACATTTTCTAAAGCTATCTGAGCTTTCAGAAAGCAGGCTTGGGGAGCTGAAATTACATACTGCAGAGCTCAGAGAGGAGAACTTTAGGAGCTTATAGATGGAAAGAGACAAACTCCTCTTTAAGCAGCACATAGGAACAGAGCTGAGGCTGTCACTCACAAGCTTTGTACTGGAGGTCACTCTTTTTTTTCTCTGGTGTCAGGAAAACTTGTCAGAAGTCACTCATACAGATAGCAGATATAAATGACATTTAGTATTCTTAACTGAGAAAAGTACACACTGTAGAACAATATGCTTAAAGTAGTTGTAAAACTCAGACATTAATTTAAAGTGTGTGTAAAGGCAATATTTAATCACATTTCCACTGCTTTCTATGTCCTCAGAAATCTACACCTCCATGTCTCATTGTGAACACTGTCACTGAAACAGAATGTGAGGGGAAATCCACAAGATTGAGTTGCCACCAGAGCAAGAAATGAAGAGAAATCATCCAATGGTGATATTGGTTCTAGTGACAATTGTGAATTCCCTTTACTTTGGAGAAAAAATTAACCTGCCATGAGTGTTAATACTGATCAACTATCTAAAACATAGTCTTGACCTTGCACACACTTTAAGCCACTTTAACTTTTTAAAAATTGTGCATTTGATTTTCCACAGTGATAAGTCAATCAAACATGCAATACCAAAATGTTTTGCGCCAAATATCTATGTACTGATACAACTGAATACAAGTAAATAGCCACCGTGCTTCCCTTTTTTTATAAGGAGTATAAGTGGTTAGCAGCACTAGGGGCATCTGTTTGAAACCCAACCTTAGCACTATCTGCACAGAGTTTGCATGTTCTCCCTTTGCCTGCGTGGGTTTCCTCCAGGTACTTCGGTTTGCTCCCACACTCCAAAGACCTGCTGTTGGGTTAATTGGCTCCTGTCTAAACTTGCCTAGTATGTGTATGTATGAATTTGACTTGGAGAGCTTATATTTACAGCAGGCACTGATGTGAATGTACAATATACAGTATATGTAAAGTACTGTGTAAATTAACAGAGCTATATAATGTATCTGTAATAAATAAAAAAAAATACAATAAAACTGGTTTTACAGAATACCTAAAGAAATATTTGATAATAGACTTTTAGGTCCTCCTAAAGATTGTCCAATGGAAAGTTCTAATCTCACAGCTATAGAAGAATTCATCCTTCTTGGCATTACTGATATCCCTGAGCTTCAAATTTTCCTCTTCTTCATATTCCTCCACTTTTATGTGTTCAATTTATTAGGGAATGCCAGCATTGTTACACTGATTATTCATGATAATAGTTTACACAAGCCTATGTACTTTTTTCTAGGCAATCTCTCCTTTCTGGACATTTTCTATTCTACCACTACTGTCCCTAAAATGTTATCCGGCTTACTCATTGGAGACAAATATATATCAATATTTGGTTGTGCTGCACAGCTACATTTCTTCCATTTTTTGGGAAGTACTGAGGCTTTACTTCTCACTTCCATGTCATATGACAGATATGTTGCCATCTGTGTCCCTTTACGATATCATCTTCTCATGGCAAGAAGTACCTGCAACCAGTTGGCAGCTAGCAGCTGGCTCATTGGGTTCTTGTATTCATTGTCACAAACAACTATTATATTTAGGTTGCCTTACTGCAGCGCAAAGCAGATCAGTAACTTTTATTGTGATATTAAACCAGTTTTGAAATTGGCTTGTGCAGATAAGCAGTTAACTGAACTCCTTGTGTCAGCTATTTTTTCCATTGTGGCCATAATTACCTTTCCTCTTATCATTATTTCCTATGTGTTTATTGGAAGGCATCTCCTGAACATTCGCTCTTCTCAAGACAGAAAAAAAGCTTTCTCGGCTTGTACTTCACACATCACTGTTGTCTGCTTGTACATGGGAACTGCAATGTCAACATATCTGGGGCCAAGCAACGACAACTCCCTAGAACAAGACAAGATGAGCGCCGTTCTGGTTACTGTTGTCACACCAGCATTGAATCCTCTTATATATACCCTGAGGAATGCAGAGGTGAAGATGGCTGCTAAAAGGTTATTTTTGACAAATCAAAAGAATGTCAGGCTACACTAAAGGCAGATTAAATTCTTTATAAACAAAAACAATTTTTTAGCCTTTGGGGCTTTCAATGAGGCATGACATAGCTTTTATCAATTTCTTCAACAAAACATGAAATTAATAATTCATACATCAGAGGGTTGAGAATAACAAGTTGGTTCTTACTTTCTGACAAAAATCAACATGAAGCATACAATTCTTTAAAATAATATATTGAACGTTTATTTGAAGAACACATCCAATAAAAAAAGGGGGGAATACATCCTAAAACTCAATGCATTTCATGAATATTATCTTCATTTCTTCAGGAATAGATGTCTTCCACATATTGTCTGTAAGCTACAAAATGGAAAAAAATATTTTTATATTCATTATGTTTATAATACTCCCCTATAACAAAGAGGGAGATCAGTGCTATTTCTGCTGTTCCATTGGTTAATGAAATATTACAACCCTGCTTGATAATTGGTATAAAAAACATTGGTGTAACACCTCCAAATGAGAAAAGCCTCAGGGTGTTTGACCCGGGAGCTGTGAAAGGGGTCCATGATGCCCCAACAAGACAACCAGATGCTGTACATGGCAATGGATAGGGATCGGAAAAACAAAATAAAAAAAAAAACAAAATCCTAACAAAGACAAGTACATAGACCTGTCAGACAGAAAAAGAGGAGTATAATAAAGTATATTAACTATGAGCAATGCTTTACCACCAAATATAGAAAAAGAACAAGTGCCTAAATATATCCTCTTTAAAGAAATGTACATCAAAAATAGCTACATGGAGGTATTTCATTAACCAATGATAACAGCAGAAATAGCATTGATCCCCCCCCTTTATTATAGGAGAGTATTATAAATATAACAAGTACACGTTGGATCTATGGATTAACAACTGGGGTAGCACAGTGGCTAAATGTTTAGCACTTCCACCTGGCAGTACTAGGGTTGTTGGTTTGAATCCCAGCCATGGCACCACCTGCCTGGAGTTTACATGTGCTCCCTGTGCCTGCGTGGGTTTTCTCCAGGTCCTGTGGTTTCCTCCCATACTGGGGCTAACTGGATCCTATCCAGGGGCGGACTGACCATTTGGAAACTCGGGCACTGCCCGAGGGCCCAGGGTCAGTAGGGGGCCCCATGAGATGCCCCTGGTACCTTTTTCATAGGCTTTTTTTTAGTTTGGGCAAGGACACAGGGGGCCCATGATCCCCTATTGCCCAGGGGCCCCATGAGTTGTCAGTCTGCCCCTGATCCTGTCTAAATTGTCCCTAGTAGGCGTATGCATGAATGTGAGTTAGGGACCTTAGATTGTACACCCCTTGACGGTTAGGGACTGATGTGAATGTACAATATAGATGTAAAGTGCTGCATAAAATTGATGGTGCTATATAAGTACCTGTAATAAATAAACAACTGAAATAAATGTTTTGTTGAATAAATTGCTAATAAAAAACCCATATATGTCATGCCTCATTTAAAGTCCCACGGGTTAAACAATTGTTTGTATTGTATATGTTGAATAGAGATGGAGGCTTTATATTTTAGGCACCAAGTCTCCGTTTTACTATTTGTAGATTATATTGCTTCTCTGCCTTATATAAACCGCATAAACTGAACTACACTCTATGTAGTACTAAACATTTAATTATAAAAGTTATATGATTGTTTTAAATATCTTCTAATCTTACCTATGTTGGTTTATCCATAGCAATCTCTAAAAAAAAAACTATTGCCAATGCCATAAGGGACTTCTGCAAACTCTTGAGGCATTACCAAAGCAATACAGGTTTCAATCATTATCTAATAAAGACAATTTTACACAAGTCTAAGTTTTATTTTGGGTGCATTACATTAACGGGTTTGATAAACTGCTACAAGATGGCTACGCTATGCAAGATCACATATATAAACGTGGTTCTGCACTTCCTAGTCAGGGGTGCGCATGCACACCACTGGCGCCACTTCTGCTGTGATTGGCCACAGCAGAAGCTGATCAGCAGGTGCTGGCCAACCGATTGTCTAGGAGACTGACAGAACACAGCTCTGCCTATGTAAACAAGGCAGAGCTGTATCCTGTCATCAGTACAATGTCAGTGTATATTTTTAGCACTGATCACTGTATTAGTGTCACTGGTTCCCACAAAGTGCTAGTTACTGTCAGTGTCCAATTGTCCACCGCAATATTGTAGTCCCACTATAAGTCGCTGATTGCCGCAAATACTAGTATAAATCAATAAATAAAAATTCCAGTATATATACCATAGTTTGTAGCCGCTATATAGTTACATACTTAGTCTGGCTGAAAAAAGAGAAAAGTCAATCCAGATCAACCATTAAAAAAAAAGTTATAATCCTATACCCACAGTTGATTCAGAGGAAGGCAAAAATAACCCAGCAAATCATGTTCCAATTTGCTCCTGCAGGGAAAAAATTCCTTCCTGATCCCCCGAGAGACAATCGGATATTCCCTGGATAAACTTTACTTGCAAATGTTAGTATCCAGTTATATTCTGTGTATCTAAGAATCCAGGCCTTTTCTAAAGCAATCCACTGAGCTGGCCAGAACCAACTCTTGAGGGAGTCTATTCCATATTTTCACAGCTCTTACTGTAAAGAAACCATGTTTGGAGATTACATTTCTTTTCCTTCAGACGTAAAGACTGCCCCCTTGTCCTGTGTGATGACCTCAGGGTGAATAGCTCTACACCGAGTTCACTATATGAACCACTGATGTATTTATACATGGAGATCATATCCCCCCCTTAATCTCCTCTTCTCAAGAGAGAATAAATTCAGTTCCTCTAATCTTTCCTCACAGCTGAGCTCCTCCATGCCTCTTATCAGTTCGGTTGCCCTTCTCTGTACTTTTTCCAGTTCCTCAATGTTCTTTTTGTGAATTGGTGCCCAAAACTAAACTGCATATTCCAGATGAGGTCTTACTAATGATTTGTACCGGGGTAAAATTATCTGTCTCTATCTCTCTCTCTGGAGTCTATACCTCTTTTAATACAAGAGAGGAATTTGCTCGTTCTAGAAATCGCAGCTTGACATTGCATGCCATTATTATTTAGAGAGTAGTGGTTAATGATTCATACTCTGCATGGTCCAGGGTTGTCAGTGGTGTACCCCAAGGTTTAATGTTGGGACCTTTACATTTTTGCTGCCTTTATTTCCTTTTTGCATATTCTGTTATATTCTTTGTAATGTTTAAATGATGATAGTGTTCCTTCATTTTAATATTTATTAAGGCTCTTTTCTTATTATCTATAGCTTTTTAACTTTGGCCGTAAGCCAAATAGGTTTGATTTTTAGCCTTTTAAACTTGTTGCCCATGGGAATATATTTTACAGTGTGTTCACTTACAGTCTTTTTGAAGAACTCTCCTTTCTGTGTTGTGTTCATTGATGCCAATATTCCCCCCCCCCCAGGCTAAGTCTAGGAGAGCAGCTCTCAGCCTTGGAAAATTAGCTCTCTTAAAATTGAGCATTTTTTCCCATATGTGCTTGCTGTTCACACCTAACAATAAATGAAATCATGTTATGGTCACTGCTACAGAAATGTTCTTTTATATGGACATTCATAATAAGCTCTGCATGGTTTGAGATTTCCAGGTCTAGCAGAGCATCATTCCTAGTTGGGGCCTCTATGAACTATACCATAAATTTGTCCAGTAGTAGGTTTAAAAATGTTTGCCCTTTTAACTGTTCCTGCAGTACCATTACTCCAGTCAATTTTCGGTAGTTAAAATCCCCCATTATTATCACTGTCCCAGCCCTTTCGATCTGTGCAAAGAGCTGAGTCTCCACCTCCTTATTAACACTGGGAAGCCTCTAAGAAACTCCAATGATTAACTTTGCAGTTCCATCCATTATACTTCAGCCTTATCACACTCGCTCTGAGATCACTCCTCACATATAAACAGACACCACCACCTTTCTTATTAGAGGAACTGAATTTATTCTCTCTTGAGAAGAGGAGATTAAGGGGGGGATATGATCTCCCTGTATCTTCGAAAGAGAAGATAGTCAGGAATATTAATGGTTCAGTCATGTGCAATACTAATTAAATCATAGTTCTCTTCATGTACCAAAGCTTTCAACGCACCTATTTTGCTTAGCAGACTTCGGCATTGGTGAACAAACACTTTAATTCATTGACCTTGTGCACATGTATTTTGCAAATTTTTTTTATATATACAAATGATGCCAATTCCACTGGTTGTTTATAACATGGAAATATTCTTATCTGCTATAGTCCTCCCCCTATCTTTCCCCATTCCACCCACCAATAAATACTGACCCCTTTCTGATCTGTCTGCCGCGTTATGATCAAATTCTCCCTCCTCCTTGATCCTAGTTTAAATACTCCTCCAGCCTTCCCATAAACCACTCCCCCAGCACAGCAGACCCCCTTCCATTTAGGGGCAAATCATCTCTGGCATATAGGATGCACCCCAATGAAAAGTCTGCCAAGTGCTCTAGAAACCCAAATCCTTCCCTATTACACCAGGTCTTTAGCCAGGCATTGAGATCTCTAATCTCCCCCTGTCGTTCCTGAGTTGCACAGGTAATATTTCAGAAAATATCACCTTGTGGTCCTTCCTTTCAACTTGCAGCCTAGTTCTTTAAATTGATTATTAAGGAGCCTCCACCTTCCATGTATTCTGTCATTGGTTCCAACATGGACCAAGACAGCTGGGTCATGCCCAGCTCCTCCCAGTAATTTATCAACCTGGTCCACCACATGTCGAACCCTGGCACCAGAGAGACAACAAACCATTTGGTTGAGGCAATCCTGGCGACAAATTATTCTATCAGTCCTTCTGATTAGAATCCCCTATTACCATCAACTGTCTAGGCCTTCCTGCACTACCCTCACCACCCCTCCCAGATGGTCTGCCCTCCTGGCTGTTAGGGATAGCAGTGACATCCAGGGCTGCCACCCCTGAGCTTGCCACCCCCCACATCTTCACCCAACTTGGCAAATCTGTTTGTGTGCACAAACCCAGGGCCAGCCTTCCTTTTCTGTGAGCCCCTACCATTCCCTCACATTACAGTAACCCATCTTCCTACCTGATAATCCTGACTAGCCCCTCCAACCTCCTCATCAATCCCATTAACTACCTGCTCCGAGAGCAGAAGACCCCTCTGAAGGTTGTCAGTTCTGCCCAGTGTTGCAACTTGCTCCTCCAGATCTCTGTGAGTTCACAGAAGGGCAACCCGCTCACATCTGTCGCAGAGGTATCCATCCTGGAACTGTTGCTCCGTTGTTGCATACATGCGGCACACTGTGCACTACACAAAACCTACCACCCTGCTAGCACTCATTATCCCAGTTACAGCTATAAACCAATCAATATACGGTTATTGGGATTTTTTTACCAAAAGTATGTAGCAGAATACATATTGGCCTAAATTTATGAAGCAATTTGATTTTTAAAATTTGTTATTGGATATGTTTTATAGCAGAAAGTAAAAAGTTTTTTTCAAAATTTTTGGTCTTTTTTTATAGCGCAAAAAAAAAAACCACAGCGGTGATCAAATACCACTAAAAGAAAGTTCTATTTGTGGGGAAAAAAATTACAGAATTGCATGACCGGCAATTGACATAAAGGCCGCAGCGCTGTGTAGCAATAAATGGCCTGGTCAGGAAGGGGGGTAAATCTTCTAGGGGTCAAGTGGTTAATAAGGAGTATACAATGTTAATACATTTATAAAGCTGATTATGAGCAATGATGTCCAGGCCATGCTTAGTGAGTATTTAGAGGCAGTAAGAAAAAGGCTGGATGAGATCAACAGTGCTGTAATGCAAAAAAAGGTTATAAAAAAGCTGAAAACAGTTTTTGCTTTAAAAAAAAAAAAAAATGCTTGCCAATTGTTTATGATACATAATAGCAAATTAAACATCATCCAGTTAGGATTTAAAGCTACTTTAGCCTCCTTAGCGTTATCTGTCTCCCTGGAAAAACAGGCAAAAAAAGTTGCATTTAAATGTGTTGCATGTTAAAATGTGAATTTTTAGCCTGAAAAAGTGGTTCTAAAGGCTTAATGTTTCTTACCTTCATGTATTCTATGCATGAAGGTAAATAACCTTTTCAGTGCAGCATCCCCCCAGCCCCCTCTAATACTCACCTAAGCCCCCTTTCAATCCAGTGATGTGCACTGGAGTCTCGGCTATCCCTGGACTCCCTCTTCTAATTGGTTAAGACAGAAGGAGGAGCCATTGGCTCCTACTGCTGTCAATCACAGCCAGTCAGCCAATGAGAAATAGGGGGTGGGTCAAGCCATGACTCCGTGTGTGAATGGACACACGGAGCAGCAGGTGCCCTCAGAGCAAGCTGCTTGATGTGGGGGCACTTGACAGGAGGGAGGGGCCAGGACAGCCTACGGGGGACACCCCCCCATTTCTGGAGGCTGAAGATGTAGTGGATGCAGATTGTGAATTTTGAGGGGCAGGGTTTAAAGAGAGGTATGAGGAGAAGTTAGGAGTCATGGCAGGGTTTAGCCAATGGGTAGGCTGAAGAGGTGGCCACCTTGAGCTCTTTAGCAGGAGGGGCATGCAAAAAGGGTAGGACGTACAACATATGTTACTGAACTTGTTCACAATGTGGAGGTTGCACTTTGCCCTTTTTAAGGTTGGGTGTTCAAGGACTTTGCCCTTTTTGCTGCCAACCAGTATCTTTGAGTTGCTGTTGCCAAAAAGATGTTTGGTGCATAGTCACATGTTTGTATGTGGCACCCATATAGCTGATACTTTTACTGAGAAAAGTAGACAGAGGCTGCAAATCACAATGATCCTATTGGTAGCAGAGGCTCTTTTGATTTACTGCTTATTCAAGTGTTGGGTACCTTCTTGATGCTTGACAATTTCTAACAAACATATATTTGAAGTCTATGTTTTAAATATTTTGAGAATAATTGGGGATATGGGATAGGAGGGGGTTTGAGGAATGTGGGGTTGTGGTTTTAAAATGTTTTGATACGTTCTGTTTTGACATTTTTAAGACAATGTAGTTAGGTACTATGAATGAAGAAGCTCACAAACTATATTATGAAACTGTTTTGCCACTGTCCAATGTGTGCAAAGTTGAGGGCTTAAACTTTACTTTTTTTAAGAATTTCCTATAGCTTTTAGATCTCTTGTAGCCACTATTCCCACCAGTCAAAGTGTCACATCCAAAACTACATAAAAAGCTATTTTGCTTCTAATTAAATGAACTTGGTTTTGGGATGCTGCTGCTTCTATATTAAAGTTTACAGATTTTTTACTGTTTAAAAAATATATACATTTAATGTAAAAGTAAATAAATGCATTAGACACTATATTGCCAAAAGTATTGGTACACCCCTCCAAATTATTGGATTTAGGTGTTCCAATCACTTCCATGGCCACATGTACACCTAGGAATGAAGACTGCTTCTACAAACATTTGTGAAAGAATGGGCCGCTCTCAGGAGCTCAGTGAATTCAAATGTGGTACTGTGATTGGTTGCCACCTGTGCAATAAGTCCATCCGTGACATTTCCTTGCTACTAAATATTCCATGGTTAACTGTTAGTGGTATTATAACAAAGTGAAAGCAACTGGGAACAACAGCAACTCAGCAACAATGTGGTAGGTCACATAAAATGACAGAGCGGGGTCAGCACATTCTGAAGCACACAGTGTGCAGAAGTTGCCAACTGTCTGCAAAGTCAATAGCTAAAGACCTCCAAATTTCATGTGGCCTTCAGATTTTCACAACAGCAGTGCGTAGAGAGCTTCATGGAATTGGTTTCCATGGCCAAGTAGCTGCATCCAAGCCTTACATCACCAAGTGCAATGCAAAGCATCGGATGCAGTGGTGCAAAGCACACGACCACTGCACTCTAAAGCAGTGGAGATGTGTCCTCTGGAGTGACAAATCACGCTTCACTGTCTGGCAATCCGATGGACATGTCTGGGTTTGGTGGTCGACAGGAGAACAGTATTTGCCTGACTGCATTGTGTCAAGCGTAAAGTTTGGCGGAGGGGGGATTATGGTGTTGGGTTGATATTCAGGGGTTGGGCTTGGCCCTTTAGTTTCAGTGAAGGAACTCTTAAGGCGTCAGCATACCAAGACATTTTGGACAATTTCATTCTCCCAACTTTGTGGGAACAGTTTAGGAATGGCCCCTTCCTATTCAAACAAACTACACACCAATGCACAAAACAAGGTCCATAAAGACATGGATGAGTGAGTTTGGGGTGGAGGAAATTGACTGGCCTGGACAGAGTCCTGACCTCAACCAGATAGAACACCTTTGGGATGAATTTGAGCAGAGACTGCGAGGCAGGCCTTCTTGTCCAACATCAGTGCCTGACCTCACAAATGTGCTTCTGGAAGAATGGTCAAACATTCCCATAGACACACTCCTAAACCTTGTGGACAGCCTTCCCAGAAGAGTTGAAGCTGGTATAGCTGCCAAGGGTGGGCCAACTTAATATTGAACCCTACGGACTAAGACAGGGATGCCATTAAAGTTCATGTGCATGTAAAGGCAGGTGTCCCAGTACTTTTGACAATATAGTATATATTAGGTGATGCCAGAATGTGATGTTGATGATGCTGTTCATTAAAGTCGTATAACACCTTATAGAGTGCAAAGGCATCTCCCAAGCCTTTCATAAAAGGAATGGTGATGTTCTAATGATGCCCTTAATGTCACAGGACCCTCTCCCATTGAAATAGCTTTTTTTAAATTTGTTTTTTGCATTGGTACTTGTCCCCCCAGGGCAGTGCCCAGCTACTCTTGCTTTTTTACATGGGCCTTAAACATGGGCAGAATTTATATTCCAAATTCACCCCCTTAGATTTCTGCCGGGTATAGATTACAAATTTACATAAGATTTATGATGGGTTCAATAAATGTCCCAGGAACTGAACCCAAGCACATTTGCTAACCCCTAGTTAGAATTACACCCAAGAAACTAAAAGGTTTAAAAATAAAACAGATGAAGAGCCAAAAATATATATGATTTGTTTTTGCCTGAACGGCAATTACCTTATCGGCAGTAATTGCCTTGCCTGTTTTGTGACATAAAAATTCCCAGGATGTCTTATCTACCCTGAATAAATTATCATAAAAGGACTTCACATTTAAACACATAACCCCATCATATGAAGACAGGTAGGCTTCTTCTTTATCCAAGCTTAAATTTATTTTAAAGATAAAACAAATTCTTACATTTGTATTTTTGCATGTGAGATCTCAATTTATTGTATGTATTTATATTTGTTCATTTTTTTGATTTGTGCAAAAATAAAAATCAATGATTAATTTTACACAAATTGTATTATTTAGAGAAACATGAAATGTTTAGTTTTATAATATGATACAATGTAAATAAAAAGCCAGTCAGTGCACTATGAGCACTGCTGGTCTGTATAACCAATAAAGGTCATTATTGGCTTGGTACTGTTCTGCTGCACGAACTTTGTGTTGTTAATACTCCGTGTATATATAAGGGTTACTTCTTAAATTTGCAATCCCATTCCTTTGGTTTTCATTCTACAGTGACCTTGGTGTTCCCATCTTCAATTCAGATAGCCCATTAATCATACAACTGCCCATGCTGTTCTGTAGGCATCATGTTTATCATGCTTTTCCTTTGGTAAACCAAACATGCTTTGTTTGTCCTGTTTTGAAGCTGTTGCCAGTGAGTCTGAAGTATGAAGAAGCCCAGGCACTCTACCTGGTGAGACTCATTATTTGAGTTTGTAGTCATTTAACAGTTAGTTTTGTTTATGTCCAATAGAAATGAAGTTTATAACACTGTGTATTATGCAATTTTTAAAAATAAAATACTATTCTCACATTTTTGATCCTCACTGATGACCTCATGTAGCCTCCTTGCAACAACTTTTTGTTTACATGCCTGCAGTCCATTGATGGCTCCTTGGCATTTCTCAGGACAGGTATTGATGGTGTCAACCATAAACCATGACTGTGGAATATATTTTGAAACAGACACTTTTAGTCTTTATTGGAAGCCCCTGTGGCAGGGTGGCAATGAAGGAGACACTTTTAGTCCTCATGCACACTTGACATTTTGAGAAATCTGGTAACGTTAGCTGTGTAAAGTCACATTAAAAATGTGAGTTTTTCCACCTTTTTTAGCTTTTTTGCATTAGCGTTTAGCCGCATTTTGCAGCATTAGAGCGTTTTTACAGCTAAAAAAACTCCTGTAGAAACCCATTAGTCCTGGGTTTTTTCCAGCCAAAAAACATTGATTACAGCCTATGTGTGCATGGACACATAGAATAACATGCTGGGGGGTTTACTGGCTGTGGAAAAAAACGTCAAAAGCCAAAAAGAGACTCCTGCAGCATGGGAGCAGCTCCACCAAAGCAATCCAGACAAATAATAAAGGAGACGATTGTTAATAATTATGGATATCTGTTCATGATGTTCTAATTTTATTTATTTATTTATTTATAGAGTTTATATAGCGCCAAAGGGTTTGCTCAGCGCTGTACAATAGAGGGGGGACAATACATGAAACAGAACAGTAACATCAAACAGTACACAAGGGGTAAGAGGGCCCTACTCTTTCGAGCTTACAATCTAGGAGGGAGGGGGGTAGAGGCACAGGAGGAAACGGCTGTGGGGGATGGAGTGGTAGGAGGAGGGAAGGGCAGAGGCTGTTAGGTGAGGGTGGGGTAGGCTTCCCTGAAGAGGTGGGTTTTCAGGGAGCGCCTGAAGGTGAGGAGGGAAGGTGACAGTCTGATGGATTGGGGTAGTGAGTTCCAGAGGATGGGGGAGGACCTGGAGAAGTCTTGCAGTCGTGCGTGGGAGGAGGAGACCAGGGAGCAAGATAGAAGGAGGTCCTGTGAAGAGCGAAGGGTACGGGTAGGGTGGTACCTGGGAATCAGGTCGGTGAGGTAGTTAGGGGCAGTGTTGTGAATGGCCTTATAGGTCAGGGTGAGCAATTTGAATTTAATGCGTTGGGCAATAGGGAGCCAGTGGAGGGAGAGGCAGAGGGGGGTGGCAGAGGTGGAGCGGCTGGTGAGGTGGATGAGTCTGGCCGCTGAGTTCAGGATGGTCTGAAAGCGGGGAGAGCCTGCACTGGGGTAGGCCGGTGAGGAGGGAGTTGCAGTAGTCAAGGCGTGAGATAATCAGGGAGTGTACGAGTAGTTTAGTGGTGTCTGGGGTAAGGAAGGAGCGTATCTTGGCGATGTTCCGGAGGTGGAGCCTGCATGTGTTTGTAAGTGATTTGATATGAGGTTAAAAGGAAAGGTTAAAAGGAAAGGTTTGAGTCCAGAATGACGCCAAGGACCTTGGCTTGCTGGGCGGGATAGATGGTGGTGTTGTTGGTAGTGATGGAAAGGATGGGGGGGGGGGGCGCGGGCTGGGGGGAAGACGAGAAGCTCGGTTTTGGAGAGGTTGAGCTTGAGGAAATGGAGCGACATCCAGTCAGAGATGTCGTTTAGGAGGTGAGTGATGCGGGCGGAGAATGTGGGGGTGAGGTGAGGGGTGGATAGGTAGATTTGAGTATCATCAGCGTAGAGGTGGTAATTGAAGCCGTGGGAGTGTATGAGTTTGCCAAGGGAGGAGGTGTAGATGGAGAAGAGAAGGGGTCCAAGGACAGAGCCCTGGGGGACCCCAACAGAGAGGGGGAGGGAAGAGGAGGTGGCATCGTTGTAGGAAACGCTGAAGGAGCGTTGGGATAGATAGGACGAGAACCAAGAGAGAGTGGTGTCTCTGATGCCAAGGGAGAGTAGTTTATTAAGGAGGAGGGGGTGGTCGACTGCGTCAAAGGCCGCGGAGAGGTCTAGGAGGAGGAGGACAGAGTAGTCGCCTTTGGCTTTGGCGGTTAGTAGATCGTTGGTGATTTTGAGGAGGGCAGTTTCGGTGGAGTGTAGGGGACGGAAGCCGGACTGTAGTGGGTCAAGGAGGTTGCTGTCAGTGAGGTGGGCGCTTAGGCGATCGAAGACCAAGCGCTCAAGGAGCTTGGAAGTGAGTGACAGCAGGGAAATTGGTCTGAGGTTGTTGAGGTCAGTGGGGTCCAGGGAGGGCTTTTTGAGTATGGGGGTGATGTGCGCATGTTTTAGGGGGGAGGGGAAGACGCCAGTAGAGAGGGAGAGATTGAAGATGTGGGTAAGGGAGCGGATGAGGGAAGAGGGGGGTGACCGGAGGAGTTGAGAGGGGATAGGGTCCAGGGGGCAGGTAGTGAGGCGGGCTTCTGAGAAGACTCTGGTGACTTCCTCAGTGGTAGTAGGGCTGAAGGCGTGCAGTGATGGGGGGGTTACGGTAGGAAGGGCCTTGGGTGTGGTGGGGGGCAGTGCCATTGCGAGGTCAGAGGAGGGGAGAGATGAGGGGGTGATGGAAGGGGGGAGGCTAGATGGGGAGGTAGATTGCAAGTTGACTATGTCCTTGCGGATTGCGTCAATCTTGTTGTGGAGATGAGAGGTGTCAATCTCGTGGGCGGTAAGTGAGGTACTGAGTGGAGGAGGGGGGGGAGAGAGCAGGGAGTAGAAGGTGGAGAAGAGTCGGTGAGGGCAGGTGGAGAGGGTGTTAATCAGGTTAACGAAGTAGGCCTGCTTGGCGGCGTGGAGGGAGGAGGTGTAGGTGAGGAAGGCAGATTAGATTTGTAGAGGGAGAATGCATGAGGGGACCTGGTTTTGTGCCATAGTCTCTTCCAGCGCACGACTGCGACGTTTGAGGCATTTAGTATGGTCGTTTTGCCATGGTTTGTCTGGGTTTGATGTTGCGTGTGGTTAGGGGTGCCAGAGAGTCTAGGGTAGCTGATAGTGAGTGTTGTACAC